GTGAAGATGAACTGCATGGTTTTTGGTTGAAACATCTGACTGATCTGCACCCACTCATTGCCAAGCAGCTTAACAACATACTGCAAAGACGTGAAACTGAAGATTACTTAACGTCTGGCAAAACCTACCTGATAATGAAAGATCCAGCAAGAGGGGCAGCACCAGGCAACTACAGGCCAATTACCTGCTTATCAACAACTTTCAAATTGCTAACTGGTGTTGTAGTTGATGCAGTCTAATAGCATCTAGTTGAAAACAAGTTCTTTCCCCCTGAGCAGAAAGGAAACCGCCCAAACAGCAGAGGAACAAAAGATCAGCTCCTAACTAACAAGATGATTTTGGAAAACTGCAAGAGAAGGAAGACCAACCTGGATGTAGCTTGGATTGATTACAAGAAGGCATTAGACTCCCTGCCACATGATTGGATAATCGTGCCTAGAAATAACAGGAGTCAGCAGAAACATCAGAAGCCTTGTGTAAAGATCAATGGCACAATAAAAGACACAGATGCTGGTCAATGGTGACAGTCTGGGAGAGGTTAATATCGAGAGAGGAATCTTTCAAGGAAACTCACTACTACTGTTTGTCATTCCATCTGTCAACAATACTGAACAAATCAGGCCATGGCTATCAAACATCAAAAACATCTGCCAGGCTATCCCACCTCCTTTACATGGATGATCTGAAAATGTATGGAAAAACACCATCTGAAATAGAATCACTGCTCATCACTGTCCGAATATACAGCCATGATATTCCAATGGAGTTTGAACTGGACAACTGTGCTGCCCTTAACATCAACAGGGGAAAAATAATGAAAATTGAAGGAATCAAAATACTCTATGGAAATAACATCAAGAGTCTGGATGAAGAAGATCACTACAAATACCTGAGCATCCTCCAGGCTGATAACTTCAAGCACACTGAAGTCAAGAAGAAGGTTAGTAGTGATACTTCATGAGAGTGAAGAAGATCTTAAAACTCAGGGGAGGAAATACCATCAAGGTGATTAACACCTGGGCAATTCCAGTCATTAGATATACAGGTGAAACTCGAAAAATTAGAATATCGTGCAAATGTTCATTTATGCCAGTATGGCAACTCAAAAGGTGAAACCAATATATGAGATAGACGCATTACATGCAAAGCGA